ATAAAATTGGATAAAAGAAAGTAACAACAAAAATGCAACAAAAATTCACTAAAAGCAAATTAAACAAAACAACAATTGCAACAAAAATAAACACCAATGATACTTTTTTATGTAACTTTCTGTGTCTTGAATGAACATGCATGACTGGCTCATCACACTTGTTAAACTTAAATGGGTTTCTGGACTTGAGAGATGATCAATCAATGAGTATACGTGAACAATTTGTTCGACTGAGCTTTGTTAAATATATCAACCATGGCAATGGATATAAAAATGATATGCATTGTGTGCTAGCTATCTGGAAGTGACATACTGTTTTCTCTTAATTCCTCTTTACAGCTGGTTTTCCAGGTAATGTTAGTTCAGGATCAGTCCATATTGGGCCAACACGTCATCAGAAGGACAACCATATGGCTAAAGGTACACCTTAAAGTTGATTTCACCTCCTTGTGGGTACAAAAAGTAAAACAATTTAAAGTCTGTTAGCAAAAATCTGCTGGCAATAATTCAACATTTACCTACATCTACTTGGGGATAAAGTACTGAAGAACTTTACAGACTGAAAAAACTTTCTAATGTTAACTTGCTTTCTTTTTTTTTTAGGTCAAAAATAAAAAATATTGTTGTTGAAAATTAAAGTAACAATTAACCCTTTAACTCCCAAAAGTGATTGAGAGGTAACCTCTCCTTACAATATCCATGCAATATCTAGCAAACAGGTAAGGAGAATACTTACACTTATCATATAGAAGTTGTTTTTCTTGATCTAACACCAAATTCTCTGAACTAATTTAGAAGGAAATGTGTAGCAGCTAGAGGGGAGAATTAACAATCAGATCTTGGGAGTTAAAGGGTTATTTAATAAGTGATTACTTGAGTGTCATTTTTATCCCAGAAGGTCTTCTAACTTTTTTTCTCATCATTGTCTTTTGATATTTTTAGGAGCAGTTAGTTCAAGTAATCAGGCTGTGCTAATTGCTGTTCCCACTGTTTCACTAGCTGTTCTAATCACTATCTGCATTGCATGTGTGGTTTAGAAAGGAAAAAATAATCATGCAATAGATGATGCTGAAAATCCTATCAACACAATGATGGGCAAGTTAAGTGGACAGGGATAATTAACCTTAGTTTCTTAGTTTAACAATGAAATGAGAAGTTCCACCTTTCTATGAAAAGGCAGTTAATTACTAAAAACTGCAAAAGTTTACTCTGACTAACTTGCCTCCCACCTCTGTGGCCCGGGTTTGATTCCAGAACCTGGCAACACATGCACGTTGATTGAGTGTGTTGTTGGTTCTCATCCTCACTCCAAGGGTTTTTCTCCCTCCACAAAAGCCAACATTCCAAATTTCAATTTGACCCAGAAAAAGTGGACAAGAAGTGCCACCACCAGCAAATGTCAAAAGCTAAATAATTTCCCATTCATTTTTCCCCATTTTATTTATCTATTTATTTATTTAATGGCAAATTGCAGAGTCCCCATCCTGTAAACCTGTGAATATGATTCAAATCTTTAGAAACTACAATAAGTTAACCCTTTAAACCCGAACATCAAAATGCACATTCTCCATACTGTTCTCTATACATTGTTAACTGTGCTTGCAGATCAGGGGTGATATTGAAAGGAGAAATTAGATGCTAATCACTCTTTGGGGTCAAAGGGTTAAAAAATATTTTGTTTGACTGGTTAAGTGTTGCAAAGTAATTTTAGCTTTAGAAAGTACATGCATGTCATTGAATTAGCACTGTGGGCTTGTTCATCATCTTCGTCAGAGCAATATATTATATTTTGACAAATGAATAAAACTCGTGTCAAGGTGGAACTTCTTGTTTAAATTTAAGTTGAAGTTAAAATAACAAAGAGAGAGAATATTTAATCCAGGTAACTTATTTGTTAACAACTGAGTTGAAAAATGTTAAAATGTTTTAGCCAAGGACTCACTGAAAAAGGGGTAAAAGAGCTGCAAACGTAATTTTGACATGGATACTTTTGTAAGCCCTTCATCAGTTTTCAAAGCAATATATGTATATTTTGACAGTTGATTGTCAAATTCTTTAAACTCGTGACTTGATAATCAGTGAGAAGACTCATCCTTACCACCATATTGATTATTTATTAGGTTAAGCTAAGGGTTACTTTCATTTAAAACCACAAGTATAATTTCAGACCAAAATTTGAACAGCACTAAGTTCAATAGCCACTTTATTACATCTATTTTGAAATTGGGACATTCAAATAAGTCAGAACAAGTTTTTTAGCCTGTACAGATATGTTAGTGACCCAGTTGTATTTTCCTGCAATTCAAGTGATTCTTTAAACAAAGGTTAAAATTTGATTGGTTGCTGTGCTTTAGTAAAGCCGTCTGCCATGGGCTGGGAAAAAAGATTCCATCTAGAGCATAAAATGGTGCAATTTGTGAATTAGCAACACCAGTGAGAGCCAATCAGATTTCAACAAACACAAGTGATTTTGAAATGGATGTAATAATTCAAATAAATGCTGTAACATAGTTTCAGAATGATTTAATTATGGTCAGTGGTGAATAATTGAACTACTTTTAATTCTTTATTGTCATGTAAAATACTCAATTGTTAATTCTCATTGTTGCAAGGTAACTATGAAAAAATTGCTTAAGTTGAAAGAGATATTTTCAAACTTTTTACAAAGGATAGTTTATTTTTAAGGAAGAGTAAGATAAAATGAAAAGGGGAAATTATTTTGTGTAATGAAGTCCTTACACCGCAATATTGATAATAAAAGTTATATGATAATCACAGTGGCTTTAGAAATATTCTCTTCACATTGTTGCCTCTACAATTGGGAAAATTTGTGGGGGGAAAAATATCATTGAACTTTATGCTGAGTCAGTAAAATTTTAAAATGATAAAAAGTCAGGAACATTTTAAATTATAACACCACCAGTTTGACACATGGAGTACCGTGAGCTGTAACTACATTTTTCATTCATCTTGATCTTGATGTTCAATTTCTTTTAATTTGATTAGTTCCTACTTTCTTTCATCTTTTAGACCACAATACAGTTGCTTTATTATAGGGGATTTCATTGAATACTATATTAGTTAGATTAAGGGTGAAAGAGGAGACTGCCGGCTGCTTAAAATTTAATTTTATTGGCCAATAGAAACGTCAGGGAAGTTGTGTTAGATGTGGTCCTTGGCTTTGCTTTGAGGAAGCATCAGTCATACAGTTTGTAAAAGTTTTTACGTTGCACAGTTTAGGATCATCAATATCCTTTTTCTTTTCCTTATTACTCATGATGATAATTTCATAGGGTGTTCTATTTCAGTTTCATTTTAAAACAGATCTGGCTCACTTAATTGTTCCCAGGATAACAATACAACAGTGGAGTCAGTGGACAATGCTTAATTCAAACTTTTCTGTTGGTGATATGAATTTTAACTACAGGTTAAAGTTAGAAACACTTTCTAAGCATGCTCTTGCCTCATCTATGGGCTTGTGTAACTAACAGTGCAAAAGTTTACAGTCAGCACTCAAATTTCACCTTTCTGCACTGTTTGGGATTGACTGACAGGCATTCTCACCCAGTAAGCATGCTGTAATCATTTATTGGACATTATATTTGATCATTTGTGAAGGATTTTGTGCAGGACTTCCTGCTGATTGCAATGCACGGTGCAATCATAAAAAATCCCTTGTTTCCCAAAAAGGTGTGCAGTGCTCTTAGAGCACAGATAACTTGAGTACTTTCAATTGCTGGAGCTCAGTGGCCACAAGACACCAAACCTCAAATTGGGTTCCATACCACACAGGACCTAGGAGCATTACTATTCACTCCTCCTGGACAGGAGCTAAGTCGATGCAGAATCCCCCATCCCCTGGTACCCTGGTATCCATTTCTTATCCAGGAGAGAGGCTCTGTTGAAGGAGTGTCTCCCCTTAGAATATGACAATAACTAAACCATGGCTGAAATAAATGGGACTTTTTGACTCTTAGACCACAAGCAGTCCTTCCTTTTTCAGTAAAATGCATTGCAGGTAAAAAAAAATCAGAAAAAAAAATATTGATGTACATATGCTATGCAGAACTATGGGAGTGAGGCACATGCAAAGTATGTGCTAGTTTTCGAGGTTATTATGAGGCCACATTGTATTCCCTTGATGTTGTGAAACGTATGATTACTTCTTACTTTCAACATTGAGAATACCATTAACTGGAGCTGCTTGCTATTGAGAGGGTCACTTTGCACTGTGTTGCAAAGAATTCCAACAGGTGTTGTTCCAAGATTGTAACATGCACTGTTTCTATAATTACCTGAGGTTTGAAAGGTGGTAGAGAGGATGGAGAAAGACTTCAATCAGGTACAATTAAGTACTTATAAAGTTTGTGTTTACTCAGACACAAGTTTGAAGGTCCTACATGGAAGAATTGCCCTTCCTTATGACTGGTGTTTTGTTTTTGAGCCAGTGAGATCAGGATAACCTTTCAAAGTTACTAACAACTTAGACTTAGTAATAATCTAGATAAGCTTTGCATGGGTTTTTTTTGGTAGCTTCGTGACATACTACTCCCTTAACAGAGGAAATTGCTGAAGCCCTTTGTGGTATTTCATTATGTTAAATACCAAAAAGGTATTTGACATAACATAGAATGACATAACTGATGGTCACCAGCATACTTTTACAAATCCCTAGCTTGCACCTTCAGGGATTAACCTCTCCAAAGTAATGGAGGAAATGATGAATGTCAGGTTGTAGGCAAGTCCTTTGCTAATTTTGAAAAACAACTCTGCCTTTACTACTCCCCTCTCCAATAGTTATGTTCACCCAGAGGGGATTCACTATTGACCAACAATTCTCTCCTTTTTAAACAAAAGTTAAGCAAAAATTTATTTCCTATTAAAAATGCTCCTACATATACCTAAAGACTACAGAACACTTTTTACATCAACACTACCAAAAAAAGTCTACTTTTTATAACACTAACTCATGTTCAAGCATGTCTATCTTTAAGAGCTTCCTAACTTGGCTTTCATGCACCAGCTGACAGCAAGAAAAGGTTGTCAGTAACATTTGTTACTATGTATTTTGACCAAAAGCAAATAACACCTGTACAAATATTTCTATAAAACTAATTTATGCAACTGTACTTTGTAAGCTTTGGTAACTGGTTCAAGGGAGAGGCTTTTAAACAACACCAGTAAAATCTCAGGAATCTTAAAACTCCTAAAACTGAGTAAATTGAATGGTGGGTTTAAACCCTTCCCTTTATATTTTCTACAAAATTTAATATTCAAAACACAGAAGAAGAGTTGCAGAATTGTTTTATAGCAAAAACAGATACATAAATGAGAAAGAAAAGGAAATCCATGCCCAGATGGGCTCCAAATCGCAGTGAGAAGCTATTTCCCACAAAAAAATAAATTTCAACCTTTAAATATAACATAATTTGATAACAACCTCTACCCAAGTTTACACTGTACATGCAAAATTTGAGCCAAATCAGTGAACCTGCCTGTCCTCAAATTTTAATCTGGCTCCTTCTTGCAGAGTATCAATCTTAAGCTGTCAGTTAAAAAACCCAGTATGGCACAACAACCATTGACACAGATGTTAATTTTGCTGAAAGTAAAAGAAAAGTAACCATATAAGTTTAAGCATGTTGATTATACTTATGGAAAGTGATAAGATTATGGTACAAACAATGATTAATCAAATTTGAACAATTTTTTTAAGGCAAACACTGAGCTGATGAGAATAGTGTGACAAGGTAGAACAAGGGGATGATAACTAACACCACACAATTTCCCAACTAATTTACAGCAAAATTTGTCCACTGGCCATAGGGTAAGAATACAGGTCTTGCAAGTTAATTAAAGGAGTAATGAAATTCATGACATGAACTTTGCTGGCTTTTTGTGGTAAGAATGATAAAAACAACTTACACTGTATTTAAAACAGCATGCATTGGCCTAAAATCAAAATATTTTTCTGCAGAAGCTGAGGATTTGCATATGGCTCAAATTAGCATTACCTAACCAAGCTGATTGTTGAATGTTCATTGCAGATCCAGTGAAAACCACTTGTGTGGGACTTTCCTCTGTCATATTTTCTTTTTCTCCTTGTGGAGTGTTTTGCTCATCTGCAATTAAGAAAATGAGAAGGTTTTCTCAGAGCAGTTTATAGGAATGGTAGAACTTTGTGGTTATTCTCTTCCATAACTATATGAAGAAAATTGCATGAGGTCACTGCAAATGTACAATTTCAATGGAAATTACTTATTGTTAACTTCTGCTAATACCCCATATAGGCTAAGCTACTTGTCCATCTCAAACCACAATAGCTCACTCTTGGCCAAAAATTGGGATCATCTGCATTTATTGGAAACAAATTATGGTACGGTCAATGTTTGCATCACATGTAGGGTAAGACAATGTACTAAGTGACCACTGGGGTATTCTAGCAACAAATGAATTATCTAAAAATAAGTAAACCATCTGACTTTACCTTCAATGATTAACAAAAATGTCTTAATAGGCCCATCTCTGGTACAGTTGTGGTCTGCCCAATAGCAGTAGTCGTACAGTCCATAAACACCCTCCATCGACTTTAAAAGTAGTCTCATTGTGATTTGTATAACATTTTCTCCAATGTGGCGAAGACTGTAATACTTGTGGCACCCAGGTGCCTGTTTGTAACATGTGCCATTTCCAGATTCACCTCTGTTAAGCTTTATGAGGCGATTTTCAGAATGGTTTCTACCCTCTCTTTTGAGGTAGACATAATCTACCCTTGGGTCTGTTATGTGGAGTTGGATATTCCATGTTCCTCCTAGAGGAACTGTTGAAGAAAATTTTGAAGGTTTACCGAATAATAAATTATTAATCAAAATTATTTTCTGTCACTTACTTGATTTAACTAGCTTTGAAATAATGCCATTCCTTCATTCAATAACTCACATGCCCTGTCTGATTAGCCCCACCCACCCCCTCTGAAATACACCCTCTTTTCTCCCACTTTCCCAAAATAAAACCTATGAAGCCACTGATTCATATTGAGTAGCATTTCTGTGCAAAAATGTACATGACATTGTAATTAATTGACCACATGTAACACTGTAATCCTGTTTTAAGGTGGTTTGCCAGCATAACATTGCACACCATTTCCTGTTTATAATAACACATACAAAAAGCTAAAAAACTTGCATGTTGGCACCCTATCATTTCTGTCCAAAATCTTTAACCCTTTAACCCCTAAGAGTGACTAGCATCTAATTTCTCCTGAGAATATCATCCCTGAATCCCTCATTAAGGCTACAAGAATAAATGAAATGATCACCACCTAAAGAGGCTCTTGATTGTTAAACAAATTCACCTTGTGAATACTATAGGAAATGTCTAGAAAACAGTATTCTGTCCCAAAGTTTTAACTACATATATTTACATCAAGGAAAAATCAGCAATCTTCAACAAAAAGATGCCGACTGTATCTCAGGTATTCACTTTTCTGGCAGCCGTCACAAAGCTTTTTGTTTTTGGTAACCTCCCTTGCCCTTCTCTAAAAAGAAATCCATGATGAGACCCTGGGAAATTGATAAGCTCCCAAAAGCATATTCATTTTAAGCAAATAAGGCAATTTATACCTTGGTACATACAAAGACATAGTCCAGAAACTGCCATGTAAGAGAATGAGTTACTATCAGCTGTATATCCAAGAAAAGCGATGGAGAGTATATGCTTTTAATACCAAGGTCACTTTCAGTTTAATTCTGGGTCAAAAAACATGAGCTATATAATCATATAAAGGCCCTTTCTTTCGATGGTAATGGCTGCTGCCTAGCTCGAGCATGATTGAAAGGTGGTTCATTCCCAGCTACTGGTCTGCTAATGGGCTATAGGTAAGTCCTTGTAAATGCACAGAAGGACTGATTGATGCAAAGAGCTATAGGATATGTAGGTTCAAAGTTAACGTAAATTAGTGGACATAGAATTGATTTTGATATCAGACATTTATATATGCCTTAGAAAATCAATGCTAGTGAGATGAATTTTAAACAAAATGTAGTTGTGAACTTGCCAGAATAATTCTCAGCAGCTGCAAAATTGACAACAGCATGTCCCATAACACCTGGGAAGTAGATGAAAAATATCGACTGTGATCAATAAGAACAGATTACTGATCTAACTCCCAAGAAATACCCATAATGAGTCGATCCCAGTAAAGTCTACTTCACAGCCGTTCTAAGCAAAATAACAAAATGATTGGACAATCACTAGACAGCGGTATTTGAACCAATATTGGGGAATTTAACGATAAATAACGATTAGAGTGATGAGCAGATAGCAAGAAACTCTCTAAGGGTTATTCCATTGCGCATGTGTGATCGGGAGAGCATCACAGAATCACACAGTCATGTGACAGTAAAAACCATGTGCTTGATTTATGCAATGACATATCTTGCTTCGTTCGGTCGTTTACGAGCGATCAATGACTTTAGGTCAAGTAAAAATAAGAGGCAAATTAATACCCCCTTAAAGTTCATGGACAGTGATCATGATAGCGTATATCCCGAGGAGATAATGGAGGAAACATTAGCTTATAAAACACGTCCTTGGTAGAAATTGTTCGACTTATTGTACCTTGTAAACAACTAATTCCGAAGAGCCAGCTAAAGCAAATTACAACTACAGTACTCGCTATAAACAAGGAACCCTAATACTCACCTCCATAGATAAATATGATAGCACTAAGCTTAAATATGGTCATTTTCAGCATAGAAGCCACGTCGCTCATTCTCAAAACCCGCAACATGAACTTTATTCACTTTGTGTGATGACGCACCCAAGAGAGAGCTCTTGAAGCTCCATCCTTCTGATCTTTATTTGACAGGTGTCCAATTTTCAACCAATCAACATACCTCGCAACTGCAACATTCAACCGCAATAATTCCAACAGCAACGTGAAGTCACCGAAGCGATCTAAACTACAGAATTAGAGGCGGTGTTTTCATCATCGCTAATTTTCCATTAAATTTCCTTTATATATATAGATATAAAACATTTTATGCTAAAAGTTTGCCTTATATATTGAACTCATCTGATTTTCGTTGTTAGTTAACGGCGAAAATCGGAAAAATATATTTTTTCATTGGCTATTCATTTCGATTTCACGTGTGGTTGTTTCTAAGTTTTGCCGACATACTTGGCGATTTTCAACGCCGATCGCCGCGATTAGCGAAATATGACGGCTCGGGAGCACTAGGAAAATTTTTCTTATTATGCGAATAAAATCTGTCTCAAATGTGTCCGGTAATTTTTTTCCGTGCCAAATTTTGTTAAACCTTACCAATCTTTAAAGGCGCCGTCATCCTGCCTCGGGGCAAGATGAATTTTTAGCAGGCGCACATCTGACATATTTTTCAATTTACGAGCCACGATTTGAAGGAAAACGTCGGTCAAGAGTACTTGATTTCGCTTTTTAAATGCGAGTCTTACAGGCAGAAGGCCGCCAAAATATTTAACTTTTACGCGGCAATCAAACAATAACGATAGAGACCTGTAAAGCACCGCTTAATCAGTCATAATTTAAAAATTATGACTGATTATGCAATTGAAGCCAGCGCCCGGTGGTTACTTAGTATTTGCCACGCAAGAAACGGCTTCGTCGAATTGCCCTCGCTGTAAACGCTGTCCTTTCGGTGACATACTTTGTCTGTCGCTAGATTCTTGTCTAATCTTTAGGCTGCTCATTTTGCAAAAAGTCAAAGCAGCCCGCCAGACGCTTACATCTCCAATTGTAATGTTAATTCTCACCTTGTTTAACTATTCCTCAAATAGCGTTATTTAAATTTAGGTAGCGACAATTTTTCCAACAGAATTAGGACAACAACAAGGTCCTATTATGAAAATATAACAAATGGCTTTGTAATGTAATCGAAATAAGCTTTCGAGGGAGAGATGATACAAATATAAGGAGAAGATGACGTAGTAATATTCTCCAAAGTTGATATATGTTTGAATAGGTGAAGAATGTGGTAGCTGATAAAGAACTCTGCCAACGATTTCGTTTTGTTTGATTCCCTACGATATCGTCGGGGATTCTAGTGACTTTTCATCAGCAGTTCATATCGAATATAAGAGATCCTCGCAGCTATAATCACTACTGAACTAGTAGTTGAAATAAGTCCTGAAGAAAATTTAGGCCCGTACGGGATTTGAACCCATGACCACTGCGATACCGGTGAAGCGCTCTACCAACTGAGCTAACAAGCCAACTGGGAGCTAATATATGATTTTCATATATCTACAGTCATTATTCATCATTTGGATTGTTTATATTTGGACTCAAGATAATGACCAGCTCCTATTACTGGGTTCAAATCCCGTACGCGCCTGAATTTTTTTCAGGTCTCATTTTAACCACTAGTTCAGTAGTGATCATAGCTGCGAGTCGTTCGTTCCTAACGAAAAAATGAAGCGTTGTGCGTTTGGTGTGTAATCGTTTCTTACTGACGTGATACAGAGGATTAGTGGGTACAAAGGACCAGAGGAGCAGTGGCTACAGAGGACCAGTGGGGACCAGTGGGGACCAGTGGGGACCAGTGGGGACCAGTAGACCAGTGGGGACCAGTGGGGACCAGTGGGGACCAGTGGAACAGTGAAGACCAGTGGAACAGTGAAGACCAGTGGAACAGTGAAGACCAGTGGAACAGTGAAGACCAGTGGAACAGTGAAGACCAGTGGAACAGTGAAGACCAGTGGAACAGTGAAGACCAGTGGAACAGTGAAGACCAGTGGAACAGTGAAGACCAGTGGAACAGTGAAGACCAGTGGAACAGTGAAGACCAGTGGAACAGTGAAGACCAGTGGAACAGTGAAGACCAGTGGAACAGTGAAGACCAGTGGAACAGTGAAGACCAGTGGAACAGTGAAGACCAGTGGAACAGTGGAACAGTGGAACAGTGGAACAGTGGGTACAGAGGACCAGAGGAACAGTGGGTGCAGAGGACCAGTTGAACAGTGAGTACAGAGGACAAGAGGAATAGTGGGCACAGAGGACCAGTTGAACAGTGGCTACAAAGGACCATTGAAACAATGGCCACAGAGGACCAGTGAACAGTGGCTATAGAGGACCAGTGGAACAGTGGAACAGGGGCTTCAGATGACCAGTGGAACAGTGGAACAGTGGAACAGTGGAACAGTGGAACAGTGGAACAGTGGAACAGGGACTTCAGAGGACCAGAGGAACAGTGGAAAAGTGGGTACAGAGGAAGAGTAAAACAGTGGGTATAGAGGACCAGTGGAACAGTGAGTATAGAGGACAATAGGAACATTAGGTACAGAGGACAAGAGGAATGGTGGGTACAGAGGACAAGAGGAACAGTGGGTATAGAGGACTAGAAAAACAGTGCGTACAGAGGACAAGAGGAGCAGTGGGTACAGAGGACCAGTGGAACATTGGGTACAGAGGACCAGTGGAATAGGGAGCACAGAGGCTCAGTGGAATAGTGGTACAGAGGAACATTGGAACAGCGGAACAGTGGAACAGCGGGTACAGACGAATAGTGGAACATTGGGTACAGAGGAGCAGAGGAACAGTGGCACAGAGGAACAATGGCACAGGGGAACGGTGGAGCAGTCGGTACAGAGAACTAGAGGAATAGCGGATAAAGAGGACCAGTGGAAGAGTGGGTACAGGGGACCAGGGGAAATGTGGGTACAGAGGACAAGAGGAACAGTGGGTACAGAGGACCAGAGGAACAGTAAGTAAAGAAGATCAAAGGAACAGTGAGTACAGAGGACAAGAGGAACAGTGGGTACAGAGGACAAGTGGAACAGTTGGTACAGAGGACCAGTTTAACAGTGGGTACAGAGAACTACTGGAACAGTGGGTAAAAAAAACCAGAGGACAAGTGGAACAGTGGTTACAGAGGAGAAGAGGAACAGTGGGTACAGTGGACCAGTAGAACAATGACAGTGGGTACAGGGGAGCAGTGGAACAATGGATACAATGGAATATTGGGTACAGCGGACCGGTTTAACAGTGGGTATAGAGGACCTGTGGAACAGTGGAACAGTGGCTATAGAAGAATAGTGGAACAGTGGCTACAGAGGACTAGTGGAACAGTGGCTACAGAGGATCAGAGGAACAGTTGGTACAGAGGACCAGTTGAACAGTGGGTACAGAGGACCAATTGAACAGTGGGTACAGAGGACCAGTTGAACAGTGGGTACAGAGGACCAGTGGAACAGTGGGTACAGAGGACCAGTGGAACAGTGGGTACAGAGGACCAGTGGAACAGTGGGTACAGAGGACCAGTGGAACAGTGGGTACAGAGGACCAGTTGAACAGTGGGTACAGAGGACAAGTGGAACAGTGGTTACAGAGGAGAAGAGGAACAGTGGGTACAGTGGACCAGTGGAACAATGACAGTGGGTACAGGGGAGCAGTGGAACAATGGATACAGTGGAATATTGGGTACAGCGGACCAGTTTAACAGTGGCTATAGAGGACCTGTGGAACAGTGGAACAGTGGCTACAGAAGAATAGTGGAACAGTGGCTACATAGGACTAGTGGAACAGTGGCTACAGAGGACCAGTGGAACAGTAGATACAGAGGATCAGAGGAACAGTTGGTACAGAGGACTAGTGGAACAGTGGGTACAGAGGACCAGTGGAACAGTGGGTACAGAGGATCAGAGGAACAGTTGGTACAGAGGACTAGTGGAACAGTGGGTACAGAGGACCAGTGGAACAGTAGATACAGAGGAGCAGTGGAAAAGTTGATACAGAGGACCCGTTTAACAGTAGGTACTCATAATTCATGCGTCTTAGTCTTTCTGGCGTGGTTTGCAATTCGGCGTTTCTTACGGTAATAGGGATGTATGGTTATTACGTCACAAAATTTGTCACCAGCTCAGCTCGGAAACTCGGAAACTCCGACAAACAAACCAGCAATCATAAGATGGGATGGCGGCTAATTTGAACACTTCGTCCTTAAACTTGCTCAAAGATGTCGTTAATTTGACTTAAAAGGACGGGGTTCCAGGCGCTAAGTTTTAGAAGGACCAAGGAAACTATACGATCGAACAAATTAAAGGTTGGTTGAAATGCCGAGGCCTGAAACAAAGCGGGAAACAAAGTGATCTGCTCGCACGAGTCCGTGATTGCTCAGCTTCTGGAAATCATCTTATTTTAGACGCTAGCATCAATGATTGTCACTGGTATGAAGTAAAAATGAAAAGAGAGAGCAAAATTTCAAGTGTAGATGTTTATGATACTAAAAATATACCGATAATCCCAGAGTCTGGCTGGAAAAAGTTTCCTTCACAAGACGTCCCTCGTCAATTCAACTATGGCCACGTACACCGCTATGCGCTTTAATTGCTATCAAATATTTCCTTTGAAGACAGTTCAAGCAAAGCAGAAGATAGTGACGAAGAAGATGATGATGGTTCAGGACATTTGACAGATAAACCATTCAAGCAAGGACGAAAGTATCTCGATTCTGGCCACGTACACGACTTTACCGACAGCAGGAATGAAGAGTATCATTATCTTCGTGCTCATGTTTAGCATTTGATGAGCAATGACTCTCTACACAATGTTTGGTTGTTTTATCGTTAAAAAGTGGAGCCGTTATCCACGCTAAGTGTGAGCCATGTAAGGCTTCTAAACTTGGACGTTGTATCTACGTTCTTGCGGTATTACTATACATTGTTGACTACGTACTGTTTCAACACCATGCACAAGCAAAGAATGTTCTTGGAATAAAGGAAAAAAACGTCAAAAAAATCCACAAAGACTTTCAGGTACTAATTATCCCACAAAAAAGAAGACGAGCATTATCAATGAGTTTGATTTCGATCCAAGACTGAAAAAATATCAAAGAGTTTCTAAGGAACATATTTGTACGGCTACTGACGAAACACCAATGTGGACAACACAGTTATATATAAGTTTCAATAACTATCCTTTTAAGTGAAGTATCTGTACCGAAACTTCGAGAGAAAATTTAACTTTTCATCGACAATATCATTCCTCCGTGTTTACAGCAACTTAAACATACTGTAAAACAAAGCCAAGATAAAAGATGGCATCGCAAGAGATCCTTTAAGCTCCAATAACTGTAAGTATCAGGTGTAAAAAGTACATCACCAAGTATATCTGGAATTTACGAGGAAATTATCAGTCATTTCGACATACATTGCATACATTGTTTTATTACTATTGTCTGTTTTGTCCAATCAGCATTTTGTTACACACTTTAAATTCAACTTTGTACTTTGTATTATTCAGAACTGAAGGTGACAGACGAACTGTCGAAACATGTTTTTTAATTTTAAAAGCGTCGTTAATTTTCCTAAGGTGTCCTTTGATTGTCAAGGACAGCAGTTTATATCTTTGCACTGTTCTGGAGTAAGAACAACTACAACAAGAAAGTTTTGTAACTTTCAAAATATTTTTATCTTTTATGTTAACCTACATTGTAGAGCAGGTCATATGATACTGCAGGATATACCTGAAGTCATCCATCTTAACTCAAAGGAATAACTGCACTTTTATTATGCTACATTGTGGAATGGTAGCCATTACATTTGTATTTTCAAATATTTTGATACACGGTATTTGTATGATGGCCTCAAGGAGACAAGAGTTCCTAAATCAGGGCTTTCAGTTTTTAGATACCAGCCACAATGTTATACCTTACGCCATGTCCTTTTTGCAGTTTAACAATTTTAATTGGACTTAGCCTACCTTCCCCCTGTCAAAGTGAAACGGAGGTGTGGGAACGTCCACGCAAACCTGACACTAATCGTGTTCGTGTTCACAGAAACATAGACATGCGTAGCATTCAAGAGCTATTTTTTTGGCTGGATGGGTTGAGATGGGACACTTTGTGTACTTAATGATTTCATTTTTGTCAGCAAAAAGAGCATAACTTTCAAAAAACGAAAATATCGCAGAAAGACAGAAAAAAACCGAATTTATCTGAACTCACACAGATATTATGTGATCTACTGTCTCTATTGTCTAAATACTTCTAAGTTACAAGGAAATGCATCGGTGTCACACTTACTGTTTTCTCCTTCTCAGCCGATGTTTGGTCTCGTCTCACAGCGTCCTCTATTTCCCGTTTGAGAGAGAACGCGTTGCGTGACGAGGCCAAATGACGTTTGCGAAAGAGACTACGTTTACTGCCATTCCTCCAATAGAGAGAAAATTAAAATCATTCGTTTACAGTTAGTTACCTCAAAGATATATTTCCGCGTAATTTTACTACGAAAAGCAAACTGAAACTCTGTTGTACCTCTAATAGACCCTGACCAAAGATGTATTGTTATCTCAAATGAGTGAAGATACACTGAGCAAGAGAAAAGGATGATTTCTCAAAGAGGGCTCCTTGATTGATTGTTGCCCATCTGGACTTTGCCCTCTGCGTGTGAAATACGCGATAAAGTGCAGGTTGTTTTACAAGGAATTAACACGCAATTGGGTTAAGGCCAAGGTAGCTTAAAGCCACTTTAATTCGTTGAAAAACTCCAACGCGGGAGAATTGCGTGGAAAACTCGATATCAATAGCATTTAGTTCCATGTGAATTTTTTTCAGTATTGGTATGTTTGTAGGACGATTATGTGTTACCTTGCTTGACACCTCAACCTTGAATTCTGTGCAGTCAACACTACACCGAACAGTTAGCATCGTCTTGAAGACTTTAGGCAAAAACTGTCTCAGGGACTCTTTCAAGGGAAACATTACATACTCCATGTCTATAAATATCTTGTAGATGAATTGGATATAGGTTGTGAATATGTTTCTAAGAGACCCGTCACATCGCATCGAGCTTTCGCAGAAATGAAGTGATCAACATGTAAAAAGGTGAAATCTCTCTCTCTTTCTCTCTCTTCAATACAAGAACCAACATAACATTGCTCTATTAGTTAAATCCTGGTCAAGTTGGTTTCTACAGAGCACAGTACTCGTCCGACATGCTGGAGCCTCTCCTGCTGGCCAAAAAGGAAAACGGTCTCCCACAAAGGGACAGATTGGGTCTACAGAGTGATCTGTTTGCTCTGGTATGTTGATGAGTCCACTTCTGGACGGCTTTTGTTAGAGAATCTTTTGATAAATATTACAACTTAAATTCTTTTTACAAACATTGGGACTTAAATGGAATTATTCTCATTTTATATTCTCGTAAAATCCGCGTTATGATTTATTTGTAACAAGTCTACACTTGCAAAAAGTTCTTTATCCCTATAACTTTTGTCGAACTGCAATTGGTCGTGTGAGCTTTTATCTTTCTCTCTCGAAAGTCTTTACTAAAAAACCAGCTGGGAGTTTTAGTTTTCTTTCCAGTTTTAAACATTGTTCTTCTTCTGGCGCAAGCGGGCCTCACATCCATAACAGAATTTCTTAAATTAGCTGAACAATTTAGCAACGAAACAAACTATACACTGTGGAATGACCTGACAACGAATTTGAGCAACTTGTCAAAGCTGTTACAAAACACCGGGTTTTACTCTAGCTTCCAGGCCTAATGTGTAAAGCTGTACGAAAACATTGCCCAGACCGTAAAGGTGGGACCATAAAGGTGGTGGAGGTAACAGACAAAACAAAGTTCTTTGATTTGGTAAAATTTCAATCAAGCAGGATTTCTTATTTATGCTATTTCATTCTAGTTGATTCTAAGGTCCTATACTTCGAGAATCGTACGGTCCCCAGCAAGGGATAAGTACTTCAAATTTCATCCACTCCTTTTATCATTTTAGGTGTAATCACTTCACGCGTCCAATTTTGATGATTCTCTGGCTAAAACATGCATATCAGCGCTAGGCGACGCACAAGGGCCTTACTGTATACATGTGGGATAAGTATAGAACGACTAATTAAGGCGCTGAATTGAGAGGTCTGGGTTCAAGTCTGGGCTGCAGATCTAGTCATTGTATCGAGGTCTTGTTCTAGACACTGTGTTAACAGTGGCTCTCTCCACCCAGGAGTGAAAATAGGCAGGAGAAAACTGTCAGGGCAGCTTAACAAAAGGCGTGTGAAGGGGATAACTTTTGATTTATAATTTTTTTTGACTTAAGGAAGAGAAAGAAGCAGTAGTGTTAATTCCCACATGACCAGTACCCCTGATGCCACTTTAAACCTGGACTCGAATAATGGGTTTAATTATCAACTTTTGTCCCGGGTCATTTGGATGCGTTGTTGAAGGGCCTGATGCTGGGTTGTATGGGACGCAGCGGTGAGCAAGCAGCCCTCGCCAACACGCGCAAGAGATTTGAAGCGCACTGCAAAGGTAAGTCCACCATCCCGGCAGACTTGAGGTCAGCGGTGTATAGCACAGTTCTTAGGCATGGTGATGATAACACTTTAGAGTTTGTGATGAAACTGTTTAAAGAAGCTGATTTGCATGAAGAGAAAGTCCGATTGATGAGATGTATGGGAGCTGTATCACAACCTGATCTGATCAAGAAAATCTTGAAGTTCTCAATGTCTGTAAGTCTTGTAGCTTTTAATTCACACTCATTTGGGTTCAAAATCTTGACGCCTTCAATGGTGTGAGAGTTTTTCTTTTTTTTTTGAAACGTTCAAATTAGTCCTCGATACTTTAACCTTCTTGTGATAATTACGCTGCCAAAAGAGAGTTCCTCTTGGCCCATGTTATTCAGTGCACCCTATTATAAAGGTTTCCACTATTTTTGGCAAAAACAAACAAATAAACAAGGAAACAAGAAATCATAAAGAAGCAAACAAGCAAATCACTGAAATCAAACACTGTTTCCTTAAGGAATGTCCAAATGGCCGACAAAACAATGACTGGTGTCTAATTTCTCCTTAGAGTATCACTTTTTGAATCAAATGAAAAGGTCATGAGAATAATAGACATGATCACTAATTAGGGGAGCTCCTGATTGTCACACAAATTCTCCTTGGTGGTGCCATGGGAAATGTAAAGAGAACAGTGTGGATAAAATGGAGAACTCGATTATGATGAGGAAATTTACGAGCAAATTTCAAGATAGAAATTGCTAACTGTTGGGGGGGGGGAGGGAGGGGGGTCAGTCCCACCAACGCTTGAATTCATGTTTTCGTTGTCAACCATTATTTTGTTTTCTATTGCGCTTTTTTCAGAGCGATGTTCGGTCACAGGATACTGTTTATGTTATCGCTGGTGTAACCGGCAGGTGGCAGGTAAGCATTAGGTAGCTAGCAAAGAGATCTGTCTATGTAACTCAAGATTTAGCACGTTTATCATAGATCGGTTCCAATGCTGGCTTGTTTGTAGTGCTCAGCCCTCGGGTAACGCACTCGAAAACTGGAAAAGCCGCTTTAACTTCCGAACAAAATAATGAATTCTCTGAAAGGAAGGACATTGACGTTTGGAAACATGAGTTATTTACCGGTTAGTTCGTGGTGAAAGTTGTAAACGGTATAAGGCAGAAAATGGATCATAACGGCAAACCTAATGTGCCTATCGAGCGTTTACCGTACTACTGCCGTAAACGTTGGTATACTTACTGTTTTGTTCCTACTCTGCTGTGAAAAGGGTTGAATTAACCTGTCTTCGAGAAGAATAAATAGTAAAAGTTTTCGTGGATGTCTGGGAACAGTTAAAAAGCGTTAAAACGCTTCAAAAAAAAACTATCAGACAAACAAACATAAAAACAAAAGTAGAAGACAAAACAAAACAAAAATCCAAATTTGTGATTGCTTTTTAAAATTTTATCAAATTGCTTTTGTTCTATGTTCGTCCTTATCTTTACCTCTATGAGATAATTATTTTCGTCTTTAGTTTAGCAGGGCGTGAACTCGCTTGGCAGTTTGTTGAAGACAACTGGGACGATCTGTATACCCGTTATGCTGGAGGACTGTTATTCTCTCGTCTTATAAAGGTAACTTTTGTCATCGAAAAACTGCATGGAAGAAAATTCGTCTTATTTGTGGAATGAATATAAACTTAAGCCTCCCTTTGCTGATTACTGAGTTACTGCAGAGGTTTCGTTGCTGGAAAGCTAAATTATACGGTTGTCTTTTGTTCTTAGATGACTACCGATTTGTTTGCAACTGAAAAGAGCCTCAAGGAAATAAAGATAAAGTGAAAAATGTTTGGGTGACCAAGATATTTATTCCTACAAGTTACAGTATGGTTGCTAATGTGTGGCCGGTACTTGATGTTTTCGTTGTATTTTACGGGAGATAACAGGGAGAATTTTTGTTGTGAACACTCTAGACAACTTTAATCACCTCTAGAAATCTCAAGTGCATAAAATGTAATCATGCCAAGTGTTTTTCCCTTTCGTTTTGAATTCCTTGCCTTTCTCTGTTTTATGAGCGAATTCTTTATACAAACCCTGAAACTTTTTCATCTCACCCAACGAACTGCAATATCGAACTGTCTAAAAATAAAATTTCAAGACAACAATCGAAGATTGGAAGAAACAGTTCGAACTTGGCCTGTTAGAGCAGTCATTTGTGACGTTCCTTAATTTGTAATGTTTACTTGGAAATCTAACATAACTCTATGAGGAGAGATTTAATTTATACGCTCTTTACGGTGAATTAGCAAAATCGAGTCATTTAGCAATTATACGGTGAATTTAACTAGAAACACAAACGGCCACGACTCCTCTGCCCCCTGTGACCAAGCATCGTAATGATTTTAATCATTGAAATTTAGCTGTGGCATAATTTCAAAGCCATGGTACATTCAACGAAAACATAATATTGCATAGCATACCCCTCGTTTAAGTGTTTGTATCAGAATGATTAGGATTTCAGAAGCTTATTACAATTTTTGAAGCAGTAAATAGAATTGTGCGTTATACAAACCCTCAAAAAGTAAGTAAAGAAATAAATAGATATTTTAATGTCTTCGATTTATTTAAAAATAAATCAGTAGATTAATTAAATAAACCAGAATATAATAACAACTTGCTGAACCATCGGGATTGTCTAAAAATAAAGTTCCCAGACAACAGTGAAGATTAAGTTTACGCAACAGATAAACAATCTAATGTTACAGAGGAGTTTAAGATCTTGATTGGTCACGAACAGTGAGTTGTGACGGAATTTGTGGAATTTGTTCTGTTTTCTCAGAAATCGAAATCAATCCCTCCAGGCATAAGTTGTTTATTTGATTCGATAGTCTTTTTGTGTTTGTCGATCGTAATGGAGTCTCTTTTAAAAAACATCAAGCAGCAAGTTACGTGCTACTTTTGTAGGGATACTTACACTAAACCTAAAATTATATCGTGTCTCCACATATTCTGCTGCGAGTGTCTGGAGAAACATGCAACAGAAAGCCAGAAACAAGGAAAATTCCGATGCCTCGAGTGTCAGGCAGCGATCGATTTACCAGAAGGAAATCGCTTCGACCGTTTGCCTGACAGCTTTTTCCACAAAAATTTGCTGAGTCTTCTAGCCGTTCGACAAAGCGGTGATACAAGTAGCATTACTTGCTCTCAGTGCAGGAAAACCAACCCTCAGATGCACTATTGTTTTGATTGCGGAAGATTCATGTGCCTCGATTGTTTCAACGCTCATCAATTGCTGAGTGCAACATTTAAAGGACACAAAGTCACGCCAGTTAAAGACTTTAACGAAGAAGATTACGAAGCAGTGCTAAAGCGACAGCCGTTTTGTTCACAAGAGTTCCATGAGAGAGAAGTCGCACGATTTTTTTGCTTCGATTGTCAAGTTTGCATTTGCCAGATTTGCATAGTTACGGATCATCAAAAGCACAAAGTTGTTCTGCTCAACAAAGCAGCTCTCGAAGAAAAGGATAACATCATGTGCGGTGTTAAATTGATCAAGAACAAGGAAAGTGAGCTTTGTGAAGTCATCAAGAAATACGAGAAAACAATTTCGACGCTGCAAAGGAGCGTTGCAATGGCTAAGCGAGAGGTCTCGCGAGTAGCCGAAGAAATTATTACGGAGATCAGAGAGCGCGAGTAAGAAGCAATCGACTCCCTCGAGGCAACACACGTATCAATATTTGAGCGGATCAACTCGGCTAAACAGGAGGTGCAATCTCTGGTTAAACAAATGCACCAAGCTGTTATGTTTTCAGAAAATCTTGTTCAGAAAAGCTCGAGCTTGCATGTTATGCAGAACAAGGAAACTTTGAAGCAGAAATTTGAAGAGCTTCGCGGAGTTGACGTTCCTAAACATCAGCAGGCGGTATTTGTTAAATTTGCTGTGGCATCTCGTGTAATGGACTGGAAATTGGGTGTTATTGAGGTCAGTCCGGCAGCAGATGCAAGGCGATCAAGACTTGAAGGAATGAATCAAAGTTTTCAGGCTGGTGTAGAAGCGGAGTTGATATTATGCGCTAAAGCATCCGAAGGGGAAACGATAAACCAGGGTAGTCTCAAAGATCAACTTGAATTTCTCATCGAAACCGCGAAATATGTTACAAACGTGTTTGTTAACGAGAGAGAGAACGGCAGTCCTCAACAGAAGTTTACACCCAAATTACCCGGCTCCTACAGCATTGAAGTGAGGATCAATGGTGATAAACTTCTGACCTGCCCTTATACATTAAATGTAAAAGAACGAGAACTTGTTATCGTGGGTGAGTTAAAGTTCAAGCTCTGTCCAGGGGACACGCTTCGATTTTTGAGTGGAATTGCTGTTAATAAGAAAGGCGAGCTAGCTGTGGTAGATACCAATGGCCACTGTGTTTATGTATTTGATAAAGATGGAAACTGTGTGAGAAAAATTGGTAGTCAAGGAAAAGAACCAGGACAGTTTGATCAACCAAAAGGCGTGTCGTATTTAAATAATAAGGAGATTCTTGTGGCAGAGTATGGAAATGATAGAATACAACACATCGATATCCAGGCAGGGACTTCAGTGAAAAGCTTTGGACAATGCGGTTCAAGTAAAGGAGAGTTTAAGTATCCACATGATATTTGTTTGGATGATGAAGGGCGCATTATTGTAACGGAGTGGAGCAATGATAGAATACAGGTGATGTCAAAGGAGGGACAATCTATTTTTACATTCGGAGACAGAGGCCCAGGGAAACTCAGCTATCCAACCAGCTGTATTCCTTACAAAAACATTCTTCTTGTATGTGATAGAGGCAATCGCTGCATAAAAGTTTTTGATCAGTCAGGGACATTCTTATATGAGTTTAGCAAGGAAGGGGATCAAGATGGAGAGTTGGATTTCCCGACTTTTATGTTTGTTGACAGCTCCGATAATCTTCTCGTGTGTGACACCCGCAATAACCGGGTTCAGCAGTTTTCTCTTGATGGTCACTTCACAGGCAAAAGTATTACTCATTTACCAAAACCTTGTGGAATTGTAGCAGCACCAGATGGACGTATTTTTGTGACGAGTGGGGAGGATAATAAAGTATTCATTTTGAAGTAGATACGTTTCAATCCTGTCTGTTTTTAAGGCATACAGGTGGTTTATGTGATAAATCTTGTATTGAAAAGGAGGAACACAATTACAATTTCAACAAAAATGGTTTAGATTTCGTAAGAAAGAAAACAGAGCTTTTGCTCCTATACGAGCTAACAAATTGCAGAGCATTAATGCTGCAAAACAAAACACTTAGAAGAGTTGTAAGTATCTTAAGTTTATTTTGCAGTTGTGTTTTGGTCTTGTTGCGTATCATGCCTTTTTTGGGAAGACAACGCCTTGCTTGACAAGACTGAACAACTCAAAGTAAAGGAGACAAGTAAGCAGCATATTAAAAAGTTGTGTTACGGATAAGTAAAGCATCTGTCACAAGTTGTAGTGACAGGAACAGCTCTTCAAGGTTAAATCTTGCTTGCAGTCATTTCTGTGATGTCACAAAATCTGTTATACTGTCACATTATGACAGTGTCCCTGATGAAAACTACTGATAGATGTGAATCATGGAGTTTGTACGTATTTGACTCAAGCAGGATACATTATAGTACTTTGTAGCCATTAATTCTTTCCAGCATATGTGCGCAGCTTATTGGTTAGCATATCTTACTGAGATTCCATGAGGTCATGTGTTTGAGTCCAACTCTTAATAATGGATGTTTTTCTCAGTTGTTTCAAGTACTGCTTGACCATGGCTCGTAACTAGGCAACTGTTCTCGTGTATGGCTACTGTAAGCAGTGATTTTGATTATGTTTCTGGAGAATTATTGGAGAGGACTGCCTTTAGTTAAGCTGCATTTGCTAGGTGCCACTGGATTATATAGAGATAAGAGAGAAGTTCTTCATTTTTATAGTGAAGCTCTTTTATCATCATATTTTGTTTTTGTAACTTCTTTTGATCTATGCTTGAAATTTGTGCAAGGGTTTTATTTTGCTGAGTTTCACAAACTTGTATATAGTTTTTACAATATTTATTTGTAATTTTATTTCAGTGTAACTAGCTTTTTTATCTCTGTTGATCTTTAATATTTCTGTGCACTGTATAGATCAGAATTCCTAGTGTTTTCTTATTGTAATAGTGTGAGGGATGTTCAGTTTTATGAGTTCAGGTGACAAGTGTTGATTTACAGGTTTCAAGTTTAGATATGGAAGCGTCTTCCTTTGTTATCTTTTGGTTTGCTTTTTTTCTTGCCAAGGATAACAACAGGAAGTTTTTTTGTAATTTTTAAAACAATTTGAATGACTAAAGGGTTTAACCAAAGACTAAAATTGTAAATTTTGATTGAAATTCTAACTCAAGTTCGTAAAGTTTTGGGTCAAAAGCTTGTTTAAAAAAATTAAATGTTTTCAAATGTAAACAACAGAGGAGTGTTTATTATATTCATTTTTAGGAGGGGTTTAAAGTAAATTGTGGTGAATGACCTATATTGCCCTTACATTTCCTTTTACATTTAATTATGGTTTCTTAATTTCAAAGGTCATGAAATAGCTCATCAGTGGTTTGGAAATCTGGTATGTGTTAAACAGTTTCTTGATGGTGTGTATAGGGATTCTGATAGACAGTCTGTTTTTAATTACTAACGTTTTGTGGCCATTTATTCTGCAAGATAAGAGAACTTCCAGCCTTGAGATTCCTAATGTTTGACTTAATTTTTTTTTTACAGTAATTGCTATAATGAGTTGTGGAGCCATATTAATTTTTAAGGACTTTGTGAGGCTTTTGAATGTCAAAATTTTAATCTTTTGTCATCCATCTTTCTTGAATACCGCTTACAGAATGGATTTCCTTATTTGGAAAACCTACAGTAATAGCCACCTAGCCTGACCTCTCTCCCTGAATTGGGGCAAGAGGGGGGGGGGAATAACCAAGAAGGAGAAATCTTCTTAAGGCTTTTACTGATTTGTTTGTCTTTATCCTTGTTAATCTGTTGTTTTTTTTCTTTTTCAGATAACTATGGTATGCTCATTTTCACTGATGACAAGCTGTGAATGTTTTTCTTTCAAGGATCAATGGTTGTTCTCCTCAATGTTCTTTTACATTATTTCACATTCAAATGATAAAATACCTTTACACCTTTATTATTGGCAGAGAGTTTATGTAAGTTATATTAATACTACTAACAGTTAGTGTAACTTTTAGTGGGAGACACAGTGGCCTGATGGTCAGTGCACTGGACTCAGGGTAAAGAGGTCTGGGTTCAAGACCTGGCTGGGTCAATGTGTTGTGTTCTTGGGCTAAACACTTTCCTCTCATAGTGCCTCTCTCTACCCAGGAGTACAAATGGGAAATGGCAAATTGTCAGGGAAGCCTGATGAAATGTTGGGGGAGCAACATTGTGAGGGACTGTCTTCCCTTTCAGGGTGGATTAGTGATACTCCCACTCACTTCATGTTAAGGAAACCAGGAAACCAGGAAACCAGGCCACTTAGCATGGGTACAGACTTTACCTTTTCACCTAACTTTTATTGATGCTTTTTTTTTAAGCAGCAGATTTTTCACTCTCTCTCTCTTTTTCCTTTGCAGAATGATGAACACATTTATGGCTCATTGAGGGATTTGTATCATGGATCAAATACCTTTCTGTGGATCCCTGTTTTCCTGTGTGGGATGTCTGGACAGAGTTTGTTACATCTGAATTCTTGTGAGCTGTGGAACTGAATGCTCTTGCCAACAGGTAGAATTGCTTCCTAAAATGATTGCTTGTAAATTTTATAGTTTAATTTCTAGGCTTGCATATAAACAAATTTACATTTTTTTCCAACTGACTAATTAATTTTTGGTTTGTACTTTGTTTTAGACAAATAACATTGCTTTAAAGCAATAAGTTTCCAAGCATTTCTTTTTCCTTCACTGGTTTTTCTCCAACCCTTTATTCCTAAGATCTCAATAGAAATTCTTCTAACTGTCTGCCGTACAATTCTTATGATGTTAATTCAAGAATTTGGTTTTGAATCAACTTGTCTGATAATCTCCCAATTGATATTTTTCTTTATTCTCATTATATGTGTTTGATATTGCATTGATACTGTAAGGAGAAATTCTGTCTTGATCATTGTGGTAAATTCTGTCTTGGTCATTGTGGTATGGGAATAATGAACTACCGTAATTTCTGGTCATTTACCCGCACGGCTGATTACCTGCACCGGCTGATTATTGCATACGGCATAAAAAAAAGTCAACAGATTGCGTGCACTGGTGGATAACCCGCACGTTATGTCATTCAACTTTTTGGTGGCGAAAACATGACATAAGGTGTTACATTTCAGTCTTTTAAAAGTTGCTGATCCAACTTTCGAAAACTTGAAAGCGTCTTTGTCGAGTTTAAAGGTCAAAGAAATTCAGACGCGTGCACAATTCTGTGTCAATATTAGCACGTGCTTAATTGATAAGATTATACAGTAAAAACACTAGTGGCCCATGCCCAAATCTCAACGTTTCACACTTGACAGACTGTGAATTTGTAGCCACATTTTGTGCGAGCGATCGTTCAGCGTCATGTTGATTTGTTGAAAAAAAGCTGGGTGAGTATTAAAACTTGAATTATAACGTACTATCGGCGATTTCTGAAAAAAATCGATATCTCCAGTTCTATTGGGCCTAACAAGTCCCTTAAAATGGGAAAATTCTCTTTAGCTCAAGCTAGTGTTAAATGGAAATTTGTTACTGATGCACCAGATATCTTTGGATTATTTTTGTCACCATCAAGGTTTTGTTTTCACGCGTGCCGATAGCAATTTGTTTGTTGCGCAACTAATTATGTGTGAAATAAACTCGAGTTGGCATCATGTTTTTGTGCTGCTTTGCGGCACTCTTAGTACAATAAAATTCATTTGAGAGGTGGAAACGCATGGTGGTGATAATTTTTTCAATTCAACTACCACTAGATTTTAAAATTGTCACATAGCCCGCACCTCCCTATTACCTGCAGTGGTGCGTGTTTAATGCAAAATTAACAGATTACCCACGGGTAAACAACCGGAAATTATGGTATACATAGAGTAACAAGTTCCTTTTCTTTTCTTTCTCTTTCATATCCACTTTTGAAGTCATACAATTGAGGTTAGTACAAATTACTGTACATATAGATTTATCTAAGGAGAGTGTGCATGAACAATTTTATTCACAAGTTGCAATGCATTAAAAAAAAAAAACAAGTGAGCGCAGCAAAAGAGTGAGTTTTTTTGACACATCCCAACAAGTGAATAAAAATCGTTCTTGACTAACACTTTCCATGGTATTTATTTCTTACATACTGAGATTTATACTGTGAAGTGAAGAGAAAGACTGAAAATATGTCATTTGTCCAATCAGAGACATGCATGATAGTACTTCACAGTGTAAATCTCAGTATGTATGAAATAAATGCATTTTTCAATATACATGTAGCTGTGTAGATGTTGTAGATATATTCACTTGTTAACTAGTTAAGAGATGTCAGTGTTACATCAAGATGTACACTTTCCATGTGCAGCAGTTTTGTACCTGTTTAGTTCACCCTGTTTTTTTTAATTCTTCTTCATTGCGCAGGTCCCTGTGGGTCAACCAGGTGAAATCAATGAGATATTCAATAGCCTCTGTCACTAGAATGCTCCATGATGTTCCAACAAAAGAGATTTTCTGGCTCCTTGTGCCCCTTCCTGACCTCATTCAAGAGTTTTCAGGTTATCCTCACCTACAATTTATGTCCAGTTTATTTTTAGCCTTCAACCCTGAAGAGTGACTAGCATCTAATTTTATCCTACAATATCAACTCTGAATCACAAAGGTATAGGCAATTGATGAAATGATAACCAACTAAAGAAGCTCATGATTGTTAAACAAATTCTCCTGGTCAGTACCTTAAGAAATGTATAATTAGAGAACAGAATAGAGAATATGCATACTGATGTTAGGGTGTTAAGGGTTAACACATAAGGAACTGGATCATGCTTTCACATTCTGTATTGTCACTTGCTTTTAGTCAATGATTTTCCATTTTATCTTTTGTTTTAGGCTTTCAGAGAAAGACTTTCCTATCATCACAAATCTAAGTAGAGCAATGCCTCAACTGGTATACTATGTTATACCAATTTTTTTATATTTTTTTCAGTCCAGATTTGCTGCCTTAGCTCCCAAATTTCAACCCTAACATTGAAAATGTAACAATTTGGTGTAGATTATATTCTGTCAGTTGGGATTATTAGAGAGAGAATCTGAATGAATTTCTTTCAGAGGACCTCTGGGCCAGTCTGTCTCACACCAGTTTGAAGCCTGTAGCTGATGTCATGGAAGCATGGACCAAACAAGTGGGATATCCTTTGTTGTCTGTTACTGCTGAACAGGTGTGCTTGTATGAATATTCTGCCACAGATCTCTTCTCTAGAAGAGGTTTCTACTTGCTACTCGAGTGGTCAAATGCTTCTCATTTTAGAGAGTCATTATTTAATTTTCAACAAACTGTTTAGGTACTCAAGGAAAGCGTCAATTATAAAGCTACACTGCTAATGTAATCACAACTGCCAATCAGAAGTGAAGAAAATTCAGGATGAGCTAAGGAAACTCGAAGCAAATGCAGGTCAATGATCTAATGTGCAGGAAATGCAAGTAACCTAGTCGGTCACACTTCGTTATGAAATAAATTTTATATTTACTTATGGATTGAAAATAAAGTAAGGCAATGGTCCTTGCCTTCCAAAGTTTCTAGCTAAAATTCCTTGATTTGATTCTTTACCCCAAACCTGCTGTGAATTTGTTTATGAGGAATAATTTTTCTCTTTAAATTTGTTCACTGTAGGGTCTTACACTGGCATGTATCTGTAAGTGTATCATCCAGTGCAAACCTTCATGAGAGTGTAGCATGTATTCTGTTGGATCAGAAGTCCTGTACTCTGACAGTCAGTGGTGTCAAGCCAGATCAGTGGGTTAAGGTATGCTCCATATGAACATCTTGATTCCAATTTAGGCTTCTCAATCAGTATTATATTGCTAATTGGCAAATTGTAGAAGGTTCTTCTTTCCCATCAATGAATCTGATCACAATTTTTAATGAAATAGTTTGTTGGTAGTATCCAACTAGTTTCTGGGTAAGTACAGGTTCAATTCCCATTGAAGTCTGAAAGTTTTAATGTTGTCTTCTGAAACTGAGTAAATTGCAGATTACCTGTGAGCATCATTTCTTTGCTTTAATTCCTGTTTCTTTACCTTATTCACTCCATTCCTACTATTTGTGATGTTAGGATTGGAAGGTCAATCACATTAAGCTTCAGATAAAGAAACTGTTGGCGAGATAGACCACTTTGTTAATTGTTATAAATGAATCTGTTTTCATTTCTTTTGTTG